GTGTGTGTGTGTGTGGTGTGTGTGTGTGTGTGGTGTGTATTTGAGCGTTATAGGAGAAAGGAAGTGAGACAGACATAAAGAGATTGCACTAAATACTGAGAAGTAGGGCATTCTTAGAGACACACGCTCACGAATAAACAGATAAACAAACACATAAACAAGGACAGACAGAGTTTACAACAAACACTATAGAGGCATTCTGAAATTCACTTTCGGTTCCCTTCAGAAATAAGTTCATACTAAGCCTACCCAAACCTCTTTACTAAAAAACAACAAACAGACAACGAAGAGTACTATGGTCTTGAAAGCTGACCCCATTCCATCTCAACAGTTACTCATTTCCGCAAACTGGCCTCCGCGTGGACGCAATTCCTGCCGTGGCGAGCGGCCGCGTCCGTTCGGGGCGTCCCGTGACGCGGGTGATGGCGAGCGNAGGAGGGGTTAGTTTGTGGTATATTTTTTTTCTTTGTACGTCTGTTTCATTAATACGATTATTGTTATTACGATTATTATTATTATTATTATTATAGTACTAAACTTTTTCTATTATATATAAAAAGGAAAAAAACTCCATAAAATCAACTTTATAAACTATTTTCTGTGTCCGTTAACATTCCATTATATATATAAAAGAGAGAAAATCCATAGAATCAACCCTTTAAACAATTTATTCCTTAATATTTGATAATACATATTAAAAGGAAAAAATCCATAGAATGAATCCTATAAATTATTTTTTCCTTTTACGTTAGATATATATTTCAAAAAAGAAAAAAAGAAATCACAGAATTAACCCTATAAACTAATGTCTTTCTTCCTTTAACATTAGATATATATATATATATATATATATATATATATATATATATATATATATATAATATATATATTAAATCCATAGAATTAACCCCATAAACTAATGTATATTTTTCCTTTAACATTTGACTAAATAAAATTTAAAAAATCCACAGAACTGACCCTATAAACTATTTTTTTTTTATACATTAGATTGTAAAAAAAAACAGTACACAGAATGAACTCTATAAATTAATGTTTTTCCCCTTTTACAATAGACCATATATTCTATATATGATCTATAAATTTTTAAAAAATCCACAGAACTGACCCTATAAACTATTTTTTTATACATTAAATTGTTAAAAAGAATACAAACCACAGAACGAACCCTATAAACTAATTTTCTTTCCTTCCTTCTTTCTTTCTTTCTTTCTTTTTAGTATTTCGTGCATATGTAGCCGTGTCGACGACCTCTGTTGACCTCTTCCTGCCGGAGAACAAAACCACAGAGGCAGTGGAAGAACATTTGAAAGTGAACGAGTGTTCTCAGGAACAATGTGTGACGTGGGTACAAAAGGAAATTTTTGTTTATGTAAATCAATCTGTGTTTATCTGAGACATTAATGATAACGGTGATGATAGTGATAAGAATGAAAATGATAATGATAATAACAATAACAATAGTGATAATGATAATAATAATAATGATAATGATATTAATAATTCTAATGATAATAATAATAATAATGATAATGATATTAATAATTCTAATGATGATAATAATAATAATAATAATAATGATACCAATGATAGCAATAACAAAAAATAAAAAAGATAATGATAATAAGAATGATAATGATAATAATAACAAATAGTAATTATCATTATAATTATTCCTCTTATGATCACTACCTTTACGCCACTTAAATCTATGAATAAAGAGCGATGCCTCATCTATTTATCATTATCATCATCATCATCATTATCTATTTTTCATCATCATCATCATCACCATCCAACTACCATCCTACCACCATTCCAACTCCCACTCCATTCCAACTCCATTCCTACCACCATTCCAACACCCACCATTTCCCTGCAACTCCCATTCCTAACCACCATTTTCCACATTCCTACCACCATTTCCATTCCTCCCATTCCTATTCCAACTCCCATTCCTCCCATTCCTACCACCATTCAACTCCCATTCCTACCACCATTCCTACCACCATTCCAACTCCCATTCCTACCACCATTCCAACTCCCATTCCTACCACCATTCCAACTCCATTCCTACCACCATTCCAACTCCCATTCCTACCACCCAACTCCCATTCCTACCACCATTCCAACTCCCATTTCCTACCACCATTCCACTCCCACTACCACCATTCAACTCCCACCACCATTCCAACTCCCATTCCTACCACCATTCCAACTCCCATTCCTACCACCATTCCAACTCCCATTCCTACCCCATTCCAACTCCCATTCCTACCACCATTCAACTCCCATTCCTATTCCACCATTTCCAACTCCCATTCCTACCACCATTCCAACTCCCATTCCTCCACCATTCCAACTCCCATTCCTACCACCATTCCAACTCCATTCCTACCACCATTCCAACTCCCATTCCTACCACCATTCCAACTCCCATCCTACCCAACTCCCATTCCTCCACCCCATTCCTTCCAACTAC